ACGGAAATATTCCAAAAAATCATGAAATATATGGAATTTACGAACGAATGGGTTTTTTGTCAACAGTATTTTTCAACCCATCGATGATTCATTTGTTTGAATGCCAATTGATGGTAGGGATCCGTACGCATTCAAAAAGGTATAACATTTTAAAATCAGACATTATTTACTCGAGATATTAATAAAAAGTAATCGAAAAAGTTTCGATATTCGCACCGACCTCGATCTTGAAAAAAATCATGATGATTTGGATGGTCTCCGCGCGGAGTTATGTCGTTTTGGAACGTCATATCTTCTTTCGATTTTCGCACCGACCCCGATTTTGTAAAAAATCGTGATGAAGGTCATATCTCCGCGGGGAGTTCTGTCGTTTTGAAACGTCATATCTCCACGCGGAGTTATGTCGTTTTGAAACGTCATATCTCCAGGAAAAAGTTTCGATTTTCGCACCGACTTCGATTTTGAAAAAAATCGTGATGAAGGTCATATTTCCGCGGGGAGTTCTGTCGTTTTGAAACGTCATATCTCCTCGAAAAAGTTTCGATTTTCGCACCGACCCCGATTTTGAAAAAAATCGTGATAAAGGTCATATCTCCGCGGGGAGTTATGTCGTTTTGAAACGTCATATCTCCAGGAAAAAGTTTCGATTTTCGCACCGACCTCGATCTTGAAAAAAATCGTGATGATTTGGATGGTTTCCGCGAGGAGTTATGTCTTTTCGGAACGTCATATCATCTTTCGATTTTCGCACCGACCTCGATTTTGAAAAAAAAACGTGATGTAACCCCTTGCCATTGTGTCGATTTGGGTCAAAATTTTGGATTTCATTTTTTTGATGCCAATCGATAGAACTGATCCTTACGAGTCAAAATTTTTATAAAATTCCAAAATCAGACAGTATTTGACGAAAATATTCCAAAAAATCATCAAAAAGATGAAATTTACGAACGAATGGGTTTTTTGTCAGCAACATTTTTTAACCCATCGATGATTCATTTGTTTGAATGCCAATTGATGGTAGGGATCCGTACGCATTCAAAAAGGTGAAACATTTTAAAATCAGACATTATTTACCCGAGATATTAAAAAAAAATCATCGAAAAAGTTTCGATATTCGCACCGACCTCGATCTTGAAAAAAATCGTGATGATTTGGATGGTCTCCGCGCGAAGTTATGTCGTTTTGGAACGTCACATATCTTCTTTCGATTTTCGCACCGACCCCGATTTTGAAAAAAATCGTGATGAAGGTCATATCTCCGCGGGGGGTTCTGTCGTTTTGAAACGTCATATCTCCACGCGGAGTTATGTCGTTTTGAAACGTCATATCTCCAGGAAAAAGTTTCGATTTTCGCACCGACTTCGATTTTGAAAAAAATCGTGATGAAGGTCATATTTCCGCGGGGAGTTCTGTCGTTTTGAAACGTCATATCTCCTCGAAAAAGTTTCGATTTTCGCACCGACCCCGATTTTGAAAAAAATCGTGATAAAGGTCATATCTCCGCGGGGAGTTATGTCGTTTTGAAACGTCATATCTCCAGGAAAAAGTTTCGATTTTCGCACCGATCTCGATTTTGAAAAAAATCGTGATGAAGGTCATATCTCCGCGGGGATTCTGTCGTTTTGAAACGTCATATCTCAGCGCGGAGCTATGTCGTTTTGAAACGTCATATCCCCAGGAAAAAGTTTCGATTTTCGCACCGACCCCGATTTTGAAATAAATCGTGATGAAGGTCATATCTCCGCGGGGCGTTCTGTCGTTTTGGAACGTCATATCTCCAGGAAAAAAATTCGATTTTCGCACCGACCTCTATTTTGAAGGTCATATCTCCGCGGGGCGTTCTGTCGTTTTGGAACGTCATATCTCTAGGAAAAAAATTCGATTTTCGCACCGACCTCTATTTTGAAAAACAACGTGATGTAACCCCTTGCCATTTTGTCGATTTGGGTCAAATTTTTTGATTTTCATTTTTTTGATGCCAATCGTTAGAACTGATCGTTTCGAGTCACAAATGGTATGAAATTGCAAAATCGGACATTATTTGACGGAAATATTCCAAAAAATCATGAAAAAGGTTGAATTTACGAACGAATGGGTTTTTTGTCAGCAACATTTTTTAACCCATCGATGATTCATTTGTTTGAATGCCAATTGATGGTAGGGATCCGTACGCATTCAAAAAGGTAAAACATTTTAAAATCAGACATTATTTACCCGAGACATTAAAAAAAAATCATCGAAAAAGTTTCGATATTCGCACCGACCTCGATCTTGAAAAAAATCGTGATGATTTGGATGGTCTCCGCGCGGAGCTATGTCGTTTTGGAACGTCATATATTCTTTCGATTTTCGCGCCGACCTCGATTTTAAAAAAAAAAACGTGATGTAACCCCTTGCCATTGTGTCGATTTGGGTCAAAATTTTGGATTTTAATTTTTTGATGCCAATCGATAGAACTGATCCTTACGAGTCAAAAATTGTATAAAATTCCAAAATCGGACATTAATTGACGGAAATATTCCAAAAAATCATCAAAAAGATGGAATTTACGAACGAATGGGTTTTCTGTCAACAACATTTTTCAACCCATCGATGATTCATTTGTTTGAATGCCAATTGATGGTAGGGATCCGTACGCATTCAAAAAGGTAAAACATTTTAAAATCATACATTATTTACCCGAGATATTAAAAAAAATCATCGAGAAAGTTTCGATTTTCGCACCGACCGCGATTTTGAAAAAAACCGTGATGTAACCCCATGCCATTTTGTCGATTTTTGTCAAAATTTGGACTTCCTTTTTTGATGGCAATCGATAAAACTGATCCTTACGAGTCAAAAATGGTATGAAATGGGAAAATCTGACATTATTTGACGGAAATATTCCAAAATATCATCAAAGGGGTTGACTTTACGAACTTATGGTTTTTTTGTCTTTAACATTTTCGAACCCATCGATGGTTTATTTGTTTGAATGCCAATTGATGGTAGGGATTCGTACGCATTCAAAAAGGTATAACATTTTAAAATCAGACATTATTTACCCGAGATATTGAAAAAAAAATCATCGAAAAAGATTCGATTTTCGCACCGACCTCGATTTTGAAAAAAAACCTGATGTATCGATTCCTTTCCATTTTGTCGATTTGTGTCAAAATTTTGGATTTCATTTTTTTAATGCCAATCGATAGAACTGATCCTTACGAGTCAAAAATTGTATAAAATTCCAATATCTGACATTATTTGACTGAAATATTCCAAAAAATCATCAAAAAGATGACTCGGCTATTGATGCTGATCAAGAATATATATACTTTATGGGGTCGGAGGTGCTTCCTTCTGCCTGTTACATACATTTGGATTTTGCACAAATACAATATACCCTCATACCCATTTTTAATGGGTTCAGGGTATAAAAACCGTGAACCTGAGGAAACAAGTCTGTTTTTAATGTATTTGTCGGTAGTTTGCAGAACAGCTGACAACTTATCGATATTTGCTGTTAATTTGATAGCACACCAGAGAACTCAAAGATATGGCCGATGCTGAAACGCGTTCATTAAACGCAAATCCAAATGGAATATAAAACTGCAAAAAATCTTAAGGCCGAGAAATCTCCGACGATTACAACTGGTATAACAGCGCTCGATAAATGTCTGCGAGGTGGCATTAGACCAGGCAAAGTATACGAATTGGTCGGCAAACCAGGTACAGGAAAGACCCAATTGTGGCAAGTAACAACAAATGCTTTTTTTAAAACATTCAATAAGCAATCGATATTCTAGTATGAAGCTCTGCTTAAATGTTCAAATACCCAGGTATGCTTGTGGTTTAGCGAGCAAAGCATTATATTTTGATACCCGTAAGGATTTTAATCCAGCTAGACTAAAAGGTTTGTGATAAGGTGTTTTACAGCCATTGATCAAATATTTAATCTACCCTATTTCATGCATACAGAGTTAGCCGACGATCTTGCTGCGCGTCTCAGATGCACATCTATATCAGCACCCACAGCAACCCAAATGTTACAGAATGTGTATTATGTAGACTGCCGCAATACTGCTCAGCTTGTGGCTGGCTTACTGAATTGCCATAAGTACCTAGAGAAGGAGCCCAATGCACGCACACCAGTGGATGCTCGTCTATTAGTAAATAAGATTGCTAAAGAAAACCTTTTTTTCCCTTGCAGATAAAACTGATCATAGTTGATTCAATATCGTTTGCAATTCGTATGGTAAATAACGTCTCCGATCGCACTGAACTCCTGATGGAAGTACACGATGGTATGCGAAAACTGCAGCTGATGCATGATTTGGCCGTAAGTCCTGATATTTCAACCAGTGTTGCCAATTCAGCTATTGTCGAGCTAAATTTTTCTATTTTTAAAAAGTTAGCCAGAAAGAACTGTTTATTAAGTTCGTCTTTTTTAAAGAAATTATAATAATTGGCAATTTATGATCTTAGTTAACTTTTCTTACACTATATATATTATTATTAGATTCGGCATATTTTTTGAAGTGACAATTGGCAACACTGATTCCGATCTTCATATCATAGATTTGATAACTGATTACTTCTTCGCAGTTCGTCATAACTAACAATCAAGGATATCGACGGCGAATGAGTCAGTTTCAATTAGAGGCCGTCCTAGGTCGAAAGCATTCGCAATTGATAAATAAACGCATCTGGCTTACAGAAAACGAATGTTTTGTAGGAAAAAGGGCGAAAACAAAAAGATTAATTTGCAAATTACTGAAATACACATTATAATCAGGGGTCTTAAATAAAAAGTCTAATTGGGTTAGCTTGCATACTATTAAAAGGTACATAAATCTTGTTTTTTATTTTTTAATTATTTATTAAATATAAGTACATGATTATTTGAATTCGTACGAATTTCTGTTCAAACGAAAAAAAAACAGCATATTAGTATATTTACGTAAAGTCGGAGACTAAACTTTTTGGTATTTTTTTGCACATTCCCATCGGTCACACGAAATAGGGCGTTTATTGGAAAATAACAAGTAACAGTTAGACAAAGATTAAAAACAAAACCCATAGCGAAGCCTTTTATCGAAAATTTTACAAACCAGATCTACACTGTGAAAATGGCACAGGCGAAGACGTCGCAGCCAAAATTCTTGCCCCGTATCGAAAAGAGCTCCAATACTCACGTTGCCACTGCCGGCGGAAACCCATTCGATGAGGCAGAAGATGAAGAAATATTCAGTAAGCGCAGGATGACACTTAATCTACCCAGCAACTGCAGCGGGGAGTTGATGCATTTGATCGTCGCAAACAACTGGCTGTTTTGTTTACTATCAGCAGAAGGGCGGTTGACACTGCTGCGATTCTTTCTACCTCGCGCAATTCCACCAGGCCGTGAGCTAAGCCGTTTAATATCGGTTGCTTATCTTAAAAATAATAATTCTGCACTTGCTTACAGAAACTGCTTTAGAAAAATATCTTGCTGGCTATAAAATAACAAATATTTTTCTTGATACTACCGGCCATCACCTCATTGTTTCACTGGTGCCCAAATCACCAGGTGTCTCGGCCGATTTTCTCTATATACACAGCACGGAATCGCCCCAAGGACAACAGCTCAAAGTGCGTCGAATCGAGAAGCTAAAAGATCACGAAATCACATCGGTTGCTTTCAACACATACCACGGTGACAAATCCACGACAAGCTATATACTAATGGGCACCAGTCGCGGGCTTATTTTTGAAACAGAACTGGGACCAGCCAGCGACACGCAGAGAAAACAGCTCTACGACCTGGGTCTGGGTCTTAGCAAATATCCCATTAACGGGCTGGAGGTACTGCGTGTGCCTAATAGCAATCGTTGGATAGTTGTTGCCAACACACCGGACAGTATTTACACATTCTACGAAACGCTAAAGCCGGACGAACGTTCCCTGCAGCCCATTTTTGCGAGCTATGTAAATGGCGAGCGGGAACTATCCCAAAAACAACAAAAAACCGATTTGAGTTACTCAACGCTTCGGTTTTTTGCTCCTCCCAATAGCAAGTATCCAAAACAATGGGCCTGGCTATGCGGCGCTGGCATACGCATTGGTGAGGTAAGTGCTACTGTCATACAATCGCTATATCCAATAGAGAAAAACGGCTGTCATCGGTAAGCCGAAGATTATAAACCCATGTTATCATGTGGCTCTCAGTTTTGTACATATGTAAGGGCTTTAGTGATTGCTGAGTTTGCTTTAGATATTGGGAAAAACAACACTTTTTCATACAAAAACTTATTTCTCGACTGACCATTCCTCTGGGCTATTCAAAAGGTTATGCTATATTATTTTATTATCAATGATATAATAAGGCACGTCAAATAGTAATAGTCAGTAAGCTATTCAAAAAACTATGATATATAATTTTATTATCAATGAGATAATAAGGCTCGTCAGATAGTAAATAGTAAGATAATAGTAAGTCGATCGATCTGGCGGGTTCCGACATGTACTGCCTGTGACGGACATATGCAAGATTTCATGACTAAACAAGTAAGAGGTTCTAGTCGGGAGCGATTAGGGGATACCCTGAACCCTCTTTTTCGAACATCAAATGCATACATTTATTCTATTTTAGAAGCTATATTTCAAGTTTGGTGACTCTAGCTCCTTTTATTTATCAAAATTGCCCAACTAACACGATACCGATATCGATTTTTATCAATTACTTGGAAACGGAGTAAGAAACAAACTCGATCTGCTCCTAGTGCCTACCTACATCTAATTTCAAGTGTCTAGCTCTTATAGGTTCTGAGATCCTTGCGTTCATACATACGGACGGACAGATAGACATACAGACGGACATGGCTAGATCGACTTGGCTATTGATGCTGATCAAGAATATATATACTTTATGGGGTTGGAGATGCTTCCTTCTGCCTGTTACATACATTTGTATTATTATTATTACTGTTACTGTTACTGTTACTGTTATTTACATTTATTATTAAAAACCGTTTGTTTTTGATTATAGCTTTCAATAGATCCTAAGAGTAGTGAACCGCTGATGGGCGACACGTTGATCAATTTGGATTTGGAAAAAGGCAAACATTTGTCTTATGACGAACGACGTATACATGTGCCCAAATCCTTCGTGTTAACGGAGTATCATGCCGTGCTACTTTACGCGGACTACATAAAAGCCATATGTTTGCTTAACCAGGAGTTAGTGTACCATGACTCATTCGATGAGGCCAGAGTTGGAAAGCTTTTAAATATGGAACGGGACCCTGTGACAGGTGCCATATACGTTTATACAGACAAAGCGGTCTTTACGCTTAAAATTACCCACGAGGAGCGAAACATATGGCGTATATATTTAAATAGGGGCCAATACGAACTGGCAACGGCGCATGCCGCCGGAGTGCCCGAGAATCTACAGCTGGTATTGGCGCAGCGTGCAGAGGCTGCATTTAAAGAAGGCGCTTATGAGGCTGCCGCAAATTATTATGCAGAAACCAATGAGACATTTGAAAAGGTGTGCTTAAAATTCATGGTGCTGCCCGATAAAAGACCAATAGTTAACTACGTTAAGAAGCGACTCACTAAGCTGACCATGATGAATGTGGAAGAACGGGCCGAGCATCAAGCTGATGCCATCAAGGCCCTAATCATCTGGCTGATCGATCTCTATCTAACGCAAATTAACACGCCCGGCAACGACGAAGCCTTGCGCGAAGAATGGCAGGCGGAGTACGATGAGTTCATGCGTGAGCCACCTGTTTTAGCATGCACAAATGAGCAACGCATTGCTGTGCGACAGCTCATTGCAGAGCATGCGGATCCGCACAACTTAACGCAATTCGCAATCTCTATAGACGACTACGAGGAGGTGATCGGACAACAGCTGAAAGCAGACAGGCATCCTGAAGCGCTGCAAACGCTGTGTAAACAGCGAGATTTGACGCTCTACTACAAGTATGCTCCTCAGCTAATGGAACGTCTACCAAAGCAAACGATCGATGCCCTGATGGCACAAGGCGCCAAATTAGAGATTGAGAAAGTAGTGCCTACCCTTATAATAATAGATACGCAGGAACAGCGGGAGCAGGTCATACGCTATCTCGAGTTTGCCGTCTATAAGCTAAATACCTCAAACGATGCCATACATAATTTCCTCCTGCATCTATATGCGCAATACGATAGAAAGCAGCTAATGAAATACCTGGAAATACAGGGCCGGGATGAAACATTGGTAAATTACGACATTCACTTCGCATTGAAGGTGTGCACCGAATTGGATGTGAAGGTGGCCTGTGTGTTCCTGCAGTGTATGCTGTGCATGTGGACAACTGCTGTCGACTTGGCGCTACAATTCGACATGAAATTAGCCAAAGAGACGGCAGTAAGGCCACAGGACAGTGAGACACGCCGCAAACTGTGGCTACGCATAGGTAAATATATTTATTGCAGGCGTGACAACCCCAATAAAATGATCCATGATTCTTAATAATCTTGTAGCCTACCATGAAATTAAGGGTACGAACGATGTAAAAAAGGCCCTGAGCCTGCTAAATGAAAGCGAGCTGTTGCGGATTGAGGATCTGCTGCCATTCTTTTCAGATTTTGAAAAGATTGACAATTTTAAAGAGGCTATTTGTGATGCTCTAAAGGTAAGCTTGACGTATACAGTAAATCATATATATATATATATATATATATTCCATTCTTCCTTCTTGCAGAAATACAACGAGCGCATACAGGTCTTGCAGAAGGACATGGCTGAAACAAGGAAGCAGTCGCAACTTGTGTGCAAGGAACTGCGTCAACTGAAACAACACAGCATTCGAATGGAGGCGCAAGACGTGTGCGACATCTGTGATCTTATACTGCTGGTAAAGCCGTTTTTTGTGTTTATTTGTGGGCATAAATTCCATAGCGACTGCCTAGAAAAACAGGTTTTACCAATGCTCAGTAAGGAACGCAGTCGCCGACTTACGATGTTGAAGCAACAAATGGAAAATTTAATGGCACAAACAATAGGCTCGACCAATCACACAACCGAGCAACAGGCGAAACGCGTTGATCTCAAAACAGAAATCGAGGACATACTTGCGTCCGATTGCCTCTACTGTGGCCTGTTGATTGAGACCATAGACCAGCCTTTCTTCGACGATTGGGATCAGGTGAACGTCGAGTGGGAATAGCAGAGCCTTAGTTATTGCAACGGATACATGTATATACTAGAATAAACTACCCGAATCGCACTTTCTGGTTCCAATGTTAAAAATACGAGTGGTGCCGAAATTTGTTGTTATTCGTGCCAACTGCAGGCAGATAAAAGTTCCATGTGAGGGAAAATATTTTTATACCCTGTACCCATTAAAATGGGTATAAGGGTATATTGTATTTGTGCAAAATCCAAATGTATGTAACAGGCAGATGGAAGCATCTCCGGCCCCATACAGTATATTATCTCGATCAGCAGCAATAGCCGAGTCGATCTAGCCATGGCCGTCTGTCTAGAGACTTGAAATTTTAGATGTAGGTGCTCCTAGTGCCTGCGCAGATCGAGTTTGTTTCCGATAATAGATAACTTACTCCGTTTCCAAGCAATCGATAAAAATCGATGTCGGTAACCTGGTTTTTGGGCAATTTCGGTATATAATAAGAGCTAGTTACCAAACTTGACATATAGCTTCTAAAATAGAATAAATATATGCATTTGATGTTGGAAGCAGAGGGTTCAGGGTATCCCCTAGTCGGGAGCTCCCGAATATAACCTCTAGTTCATTTATATATTATATATATATAGTATCTAAGGAAATTATTATTAAAATTATATTTTCATATGTACATCAGTAAAATCGGTAATTGGACCAGGGCGCATTTACAAATCAGCTTATCAGTCAACAATCTGCATGCGCAGTTCATTGGTAACAAACGACATAATTGTACTGAGCACAGCCTGTTGAACGGAGGCATTCTGCGTTATCAACGGAAGCAGCATTACCAAATCTGTGGGGTGTACCTCGGCGACGGCTTTTGTCACATGTTGCACTAGCTGCTCGCGCTGCATGTCTGTCAAATCGTTTAATATTACCTCTCCCAGCGGCTTAAATGTGCCTGTTAACGTCAACAATTAATTAAATACAGCACGAATCTCGATCAACACACTCACCACTGGTCACTTTGTAGGCGGCAATTCCTCCCGCAGCGCCACCAACAGCTAGGCCCACTGGACCCATCAGTAGGCCACCTGCAAAGCAGCAGGCAGCACAGATCGCTGTGCCCTTTGCAGATTGTTTTACAGCTACACGTATATTCTGCTCATCAGCAACAATTGCAATAGCTTCCATTAGCTCGCGCGTATCAATCGGCATTTTGATTATCTATTTTCTATTACTGTTAAAATAATAGATGATGAAATAGTTTTGGTTTGGCACAATGTATGGCTTAAATAATCTGAGTACTTCTTTGGCTACGATATTGTTGGTATTGCTTGCGATTTATTTATATTACGCGATATTCCCTCAGACAACATCTGCTGTCGCGTCATGGTACAAAGAACAGTTTTTATATTGCTATTCCTGCGAAAAGACCTTTTTACAGAAATAGACCGATATATAGTGCTGGTAAAACCGATAGTTTTAATATTCATAAAAAAAACAACGTAGCATTACTCATTCCCAGAATATTAGGAACACAGAAGCGATAGTGTCATCGAGATTCTAACATCTCTAATGATACCTATTCAAATATGATGAGATTGCGAAAAGAAATTTAGTATTTCAACACATTTAGAGCAATGTATAGATCTAAGAGCAAAAATGCCAAAAAAATACTGGCTTTCTCGATTATATTAATTATTACCATGTTTAGTATTTTAGTACATGAAAATCGCGCTTACTACGCTGGCAGCCCTAAAACACACTTGCGTGCGTTTTGTTGTCGATAACGTACGCTGTTTCTTGATTTTGTTTAATATTAAATTTATTTAAAAAAATATAACAATTTGCTTTTTTAACATAAAATTCATTGACTGATATGACTGAAAGTTTTTCTGTAGTGTCGTAGTTTTTAGTATACGCCAACAATATAAGAGATTACAAATTTTTAAAATATGATCATGTTTTTTTTTTAAAACATACAAATGCTGATTTATCAAATCGCAGTTGTCATCGCGCTCCAATAAAGGCAATGGTTGATTGTAAAGTTGTAAGTCAATCACGCATACGCAATATATGCAATGTATATATTATATGTAAATGACGTATGTACTGGCAGACATATATGCATGTATATTTATGTTTGCTTGTATATGTCAACATTTGTGTGTCTTTAAGCTTTATCTGCAGTTGCATGCACATAAAATGTACTTCTAGAATATAATTTAACAGCGATTAAAACTTATTGCATATTTATTTGTTTGTATATCGACCATTTTAATGTGAGGATCATATTGTAACTGGTAAATTTTGAGAAAAAATATTCGTCAAAATATTTATTTGTATAATGCGTACAAACATACATATTTTTAATATATGTGCGTACATACATACGCGAATTCTCGCAGAATTAACGTAAATATGGCTATATTAGCAAACATCCATTTGTGCTCGCATTAACATAAAGAAATAATTCAATCTGCGGTAATACGTTAGTAAATTAAAGAATAAGAAACCCGGCGTTATGTATAATTTACTAGAACTACTAAAATACGCTGAACAGATTGTATATATTTATATGTACATACATATGTATGTGCGTGTTTTTATCTATGCATCTTTCTCGTAAGGAAAAAGTACATGTACGTTTACGTACATTTTTCCGGACTTCGTATGTACATATATCACATATTAAATGTGTATGTGTATGTACATACCTAATTACTTTTTGTTGATATAGCCTACTGTGTCTGAGGCACGCCTTCAACTCGCTCGATATCCAGTCGACTCCGTCTATCACCAGTGTTGCTTTACATTGCTGAATTGACTTTATTAGCAGAACTTGCCAAGAGAATGCTATAAAACGCTAACTGTTTCTGTAACACGGCCACTGTAAGTAGCCTGTAGCTAGAAAATAGGTCAATTGGCATCATCACCAGCAACACTCAAGTTAATTGCCACAACCGCGGGCCAAGCCTTGTTCTTATCGAATTACATGTGCGCTAATTAATTGTGTAAACATCCCGCTTGCTGGGCTAAGCGCCGTATTATTATTTGGATATCCGTTTTGTGCCTATCAATAGACAATTTCAATAAAACTCGCGCCCCTTGTCCTGTCCTTGCAGCTGGTATTATTGTTAATGCTGCTGGCCTACGCATGCGCGCATCCCGAGCAGCAGGTGACGGTGCCGCCGCAGTCTCTGGCAGCGACTCCATCAGAACCGGCGCCCCCGTTGGTAACCCAATCGATAGAGGTGGCAATGGTCTCGCCGCCATCGCCTACATCGGCACCTAATCGACATCGTGTGAACGAAGCAGACAACGCAGATTCATTGTCAGCTATAACACCGATGACCAGTACGACAACTGCTACACCATCAGCCGCAGTGTCTTCCGAATTGCCAGAATATCTGAGAAATTGTTTTTACGCGGAAGAGGAGCTGTGCCTCAACTGGCGCCGCCACAACGCTAGTGGCGATGATTCACAAATATCTGACCGAGCGGATATTCTGCTAGATACTGGTGCCGAAAACATAACTGCAGATAATATGACTGCGTACAGTGGACAAAATGGCAGCCTGTCGCAGGTTCACGGTCAGCAGAGTCCTGGAGAGCGTGATTCCAATAGCTGTCAGTGCCGTGAGCATCCGACGCATGCCAACTCTTGGTACTGCTGCAACATTACCCATATTTCCATGGTCTCCAGTTGCAGCAACATTTCGAAATGGACAAACCTGCATGTACGCAATCTTACCGTGCAGGCTATGAACCTCTCCAATCCAATATATCGATCGCTGCAGTCGCTCGCCGTCACGGATGGAAATATAATGCAACTGACGAATGCGTTCCCGCGACACTCCAAGCTAAAGTGCCTTAATATATCGAATAATAACATTTCGGAAATCGCATCACGGGCTGTCAAGGATGTGCCCCACCTAGAATTTCTGGGCATATCGAATAATCTGCTTTCCCGTGTGCCAAATCGAAACCAGAACAAGAACATTGCCTTGGACATTAGGTAAGTGTTGTTTGTCCTAGCCTTGTGTAGAGTATTTTAACTTTGTCATGAAATGTGTAACGCAAAGGGGTCGTCTCCGAACACCTAAAATATATATATTTTCCTGATCACTATCAACAAGCGAGCCCAAATAGGAATTCTATGGAAACTCGTGCTTTTCTAAATGTAGCCTTACTCTGGGGGCCAATCCGGGTGGGAGCACTTTTTCATATAGCTTCCATAGGCAAGTAAAGATATTGGTAAAATATCTTGACCAAATCTGAGAAGGGAAGATTCGTAATCAGGACTATACTAGTATTTGATAGCTACCAATCACCTAGATGCCAGATTAATTCAAACAGGGCAACTAATAAGAATTATTCGTGTACATATAATATTATCATATCTTACAGTGGGAACATGCGTTTGCTCTGTGAGCCCCTCAGCGAGATCATCTATATCGACTCATTCAACATTGTTAATCCGGAACACTCCTTTTGTTTGTATAACGCGACACATAAGTGGTTTAATTCCACGGATCTGGTTTCCGTTAAACAACTCGAAAGCATTAAGAAATGTGGTACGAAGTGTCCAAGTATACCGAATTATGGCAACTGTTCCTGCAATATATACAGTATCATGATAATACAGGGCGATCAATCCAGGACCGTGTGTAATGTCGATTGTTCTAACCTTGGCTTGGTTGAGCTACCATCCCAGTTACCGGACAACACGTTTACGTTAAACATAAGCAACAACAAAATAAGCAGCTTGGGAGATCATTTCCATACAAATCCCACCTATTACAATATTGTAAAACTGGTCGCCGATAATAATCATATATCTTCTATATACGAATTTGAGGGCACCAAGTTCATTGAGCAATTTCAACGGCTCTACATGCGGAACAATTCGTTGAGTAAAGTGAGCAAACGAAAAGATTCCAACTTAACATGGATATATTGCTGTTTGCTTTCTTTTAGATTCCCGAATATTTTTTGAACAATGCTCTTATGGATACGGGCATTGGACGGCGCATTTATCTGGCTGAGAACAGACTGCAATGTGACTGCAACTCGGCAAAAACGTTGCAAAACTGGCTTAAGGAACGCAGTACCGATATACCCGACTACATGGACATAAGATGCCGCAATTTACCTCAAAGCGTTATTGAGCTGCAGGAAACAAAGCTGTGCCAGTCACCGCCCGACTGGACGGACTACATATACTATTTAATAGCAGCAGAAATAATTCTCCTGCTAGCTCTGATCACAAAGGTTTCCTACGACTACTGGGTTTTCAAGACAGCCGGTTACTTGCCCTGGCCAGCAAGCAAAATGCCGAAACTGCCCTGCGACTGGCTGTGCGAGTCCTAGATTAACTAACCGATAAATAGCCAGACTGAACGTGGACATAGCATATCCGCTTAACACTTCACCATGAGCGACTATAACGAATATCGATTTTGATGTGCCTTCTTACATATGCCTATATATACATATTTATTTATATAACAATAGATCTATCTATTTGCTGCAATGAAATGTTGTGTATAAGCTAAACGATATGTACCTATATATATACCAATAGCCCGACTGGACGTCTCCATGACACACTATGACGGATATCAATTTCAATGTGCCTTACACTTTCTAGTTTTTAAATAACCCCTTATAATGAAATGGTTTGAATATTTGTTGTCAATTATTGTAAGTGAATTTGCGTATTGTCGTGAAATATCTAGAATTTACTGCGCTATATAAAGAAATTATGAATATCCAAAAACATATAGTCTTAGTTACTTAGTAAGGTTTTGCAGGATTCGCTTTTGTGTATGTACATGTAAGTACGCCTTCTAAAAATTCTATTAAAATTAGTACCGATGGCTACTTTGCGTATGATATTTATTGTTGTGGTTTCTTGCAATTTAAATATGTATTACAATAAATTTAAGAAAAAAATGCGATTTTTTATGTCCACATCTATGCATGATGATTTTGTATAGTTTTTTTTTTATATTTTTATTATTGTTATTAATCTTTATAGTACCTACTTTATGCCATGTTACTAGACGTACTGCCACGCATGTTTGCAGTTGATTGTGTAAATGTGTGTGCCTAATAGGAAAAACATTTACGTATACATACATACATACATTTAATACCATTGATTTTGTGGTGTTTTTGCATAACTATATTTTAAAATATGTTTAATAAGTTTTACCATTATTATGTTTGCCGCTTTATAGTATTTAAATACTTTCACATATGTAGTTTCGTACTTCTTATCGCTGTAATCAATTCTTTTGAATGTATTTTCGTTGCGTAACGTTTTTTCGTATTTGTCAAAATGTGAAAATAAATTTAAAAAAGTGCTTTCATTATTGAAAATATGTATTAATAATGTATAAATATTTTGAGCGTATCTTTTTGTATTCGTTATATTTGTATATATGAATTAAAAGTCAATTAGTTAATTCGTATTGTGATGTGTAATTTAACTATACTAAACAATTATCAGTATTCGTCGATTCTGACGTAGCTCAATTTAGAAAGTCGAGTTACGTAAAATCAAGGAAAATTTTGTTTGTATAATTATCTTTTCCTGAACTATGAAACATACAAATAACGATTTTTACAAAATGTGCTTATTAACTGAAAAATGTGTATCATTGGCAGAGCCAGTGGACTAAGTAAATTTAGGAATAGTTACATGTAACCGTCGTATATATACATATAAAGGCATAAATACGTAAAATTACATCCAAAAACTGGGAAATGCATTTTAAATTTATATAAAAATCTGGTACAAGTGCAACACATTTTTAATTGTATATATGAATATGTACATTTAATACCCTTATGGTACGTGTATTATATATACTAAATGTATAATACAACATTTTATGTATGTTTGTAAGTATGTATGTACATATGTATGTCAGTGTATATATACTTTATATTTCAAATATGCCTTTTTATCAATAAATGAAGAGCATTTTAATTCATTATAACATGTAAAAACCTAAAAGTATTTAAAAATAGCTATGAAGAGCTGTGCTATGAAATATATTAAATATACAACTTGAAAAAAACTGAGTGCTTGAATATATGATAATTTGTAAAAGCCTTGATTAGGTGCACTAACAAATAAATGGGCGGACCGACATGGCTCCAATGTGATGCACATTCGTACAAATTAATAAATATTCCCATTTAATGGGAGTACGGTATAAGCAATAACATTTCTTTTCGGTATTCCGAAGAAATTGACTCTTCCCAAAAACGTAATGCACCTTAAAAACCATATTATTGGTTTTCAAGGAAACGCTTTTTGCGAATTGCTTTAGGCTGTCTTCGAATAAAAATTAGCTAGTTTTATTTTCTAAGAAATATAACCGTATCTATTGATTATTTGAGTAATTATTCATTACTTTTTGATGACCTAGATATATAGAACTATCAGTCTCACGTCCCATACCAAAAAAAAAAAAAAAAAAAAAAAAAAAAAAAAAAATAATAAATATCTTAACGTAAATATTTAAGGATCAAAATGTTTTTAAGTAAAGTTTTCCTTGACATTGTGGTCTGCCTATTTAAGGACCTATTGCAAGGACCAACTATTTATCAGAACCAGGTTATAAATATTTCTAATGTATAATGGATTCATGCGTTAGGGTTCTTTTATATTCTACTCATGCTTGTTATGGATATTATCCAAAATCTTTTGAATATGGACATATATAAGATGTACTTATGTGCATACATACATACAGCTATGTGCCGCTATGTTGGGTGCATGTTTCAAAGTTTTTGATTTTCATTTGGCATTGGGTACATACATACAATAGCATATAAACGTAGATGAATTTATATTCATTATATATATATATATATATATATATATATATATGTATGTACGACATTTAGATGTAACCCGTATAATTACGAGTTTAGTTACTTAACATTTCTTAACAATTCTATTATTCATGTATTAATGATATTACAGAGTCCGAAGGCCTGTCTAAGTCTTCGTATGTTAATGATGTCTGTTAACAAGAGTGACAAAGATAGTGATATACGGATAGAGCTGAAACTCGTGCAAATGACAGAGATAGACATATAATGCTTCAATTAACCGGGCGCTACAACAGATTAAATATCAATTTTGGTTTCGCTCCATGCCAATTTCCAGTTGTGTTAAAGTATTTCCGTCTCATATACCTGCTTAGTGGTCATTGAAGCTGTTTGTAATTGTGTGTTTGCAGCAGCAGCAGCAGCTTCTGTACCAACCGTCCCAACAACAACACCACCGCCACCAACAACGCCGCCGACCACACCACCCGTAGCATCACTGATCAACACACCATTTGCACCCACAGTAGTCTCAGCCGCCGCAGCGTCGACACCACTGCCGAACTCACAGGCCAGGTTCAATGCGGCGATTTTTTGCTGTATATTTGATTCGCTGCCCAAGTGTTTGAGCATTGTGTTCGCGTTGCCACCGCTGGCTGGGTCTTGTGAGGGGCAGGATATGTCCACAGAGGGTATCTTGCTCATTTGTTGCAAACGCTGGTATTGTTCCTGCAATAGCTTCTGCTTCTTCAATAGTTCCTGGTGCCGCATTTCAAGTGCAACCTGGCGCTGGGCATGATCATTGCCGGACTCATTGCCGCTGGAGTTGTCGCCACTGGAGGTGTCGCCACCACCGATAACGACAGTTTCGATGCTGATGATATTGTCACCAATGTTGTTGGCAGCAGCTGCGGCAACTATGTTCTGTGGCACATTTGGGCTTGTCGGACTGGCCAGTGGACTGCGTGAGCTGGTACGCGGCGGCGGTGGTGGCGGTATGCGTTTGTGACCCACTTTAGTTATTAAATCGGCGTTACGCTCAGGGAGTGGTGGTTTGATGATGCTGCTGCCACCACCATTAGCGAGACTGTCACGCGGACCAGTGGCTGGGAATTCGTTCTCCGATTCGCTGGGGAAGGAGTGCAGGCGACGTAAACTGCCCATATGGGTGTGCACCATTAGCTGCTGCTGCTGGGACTGGGACTGCTGATGGCTCAATGGGCCACGTGAAAGTTGTATAGCACCTGTTGCCACAGCAATGACCATGCTGTTAGTGTTAGCCTGTTGCATATTTACGTTGGATTCAGTGAAAAGGCGAGCCTGGGATATTTGCGTGGTGACGGTACTCTGTATAGCAGCCTGGGCGCTCTCATCGGATGCCGAATCTTCGGGGCGTACCTTTGTCAATTGACTCGATAGAGGTTAATAAGTCTATATATAATATGTCAAGCTAACGAGCCTGCATAAGATTTCGATTCTTGATTTCGCATGTACTCTGACTCGATTTACTTTTGCTGCTTCTAATTCTGACTGAGGTTAAATTGATTTTAAACAGGTTGATTGGTTTGTTAACCCAAATCATTTTTACTCAGGCAACACTTTGGAACACGATAGATTCGAATGGAATTTATGTAAGGAACACCAAATCATTATGATTCCAAAATCTTTGATCAGAATCGAAATCTAAAATAGTCCCGTAAATCACTTACCTCGAATTGTTGTTTTTGTTGTTGTTGTTGCTGTTGTTGTTGTTGGGCAATCGGCTTTGAAAATGTCTTCAGCTCGTCTAGCAGAGCATCGAGTGCGTTTTCGGGTGCGAATCCCCCGCTGACAGTGAACGACCCCATCCTGGGTGTTGGGATTGGCTACAAAAATATATAATTGAACAATTGTGAATGCATAAATTATGGCCGAAAATTGAATGAAAATTGAAGTTTAAAAACATTTATACATAGGTATTGTATGTATATACTTCATGTGGTAAAGTATCGATAAATAAATACATTTTGTACAACTTTTAAACACCCATCAAGATAGTGGCTAAAAGAAAAATGACCAAGCCAAGGTGCCTCAATTTACAGGTTGCATACAAATGAATCATGCTGTGCACAAGGACAATATTTAGTATAGGACAAAAATCAGTGACCAAACTAAATCTTAGGTTCGGTTGAGATTTTATGTAACGATTTTTTTGTATTGATTTAATTTACAGCTTTCATGTCATGCAAAAAATCAAATAAATAAATGTGCTCCAAGGCTTTCCATACTATGATTAAAACTCGATTTTTTTTGCTTTAAACAATAACGTTGTCAGCAAATAGGCTATTGTTTGTAACTTCGGATAGATGTGGCTGAAAATATGTATGAATATTTTTTAAGGTTTGAAATTAGCCCAGTTTCATGCAGCAATATACATTCTTATTATTTTCAGTACAACAAATTGTATTTATAAAGTACACAGAGTATGCGTAAGCAAACAAAACAAGCTCGAACATTTGTGATTAACAAGTTTTCAAAAAAATTAGAATGGGAGGAGGTTGGCGTTAATTAGGGCTCAGCGCTCAAGATCTGTGGTATTAGACTATGTGAGGTTAAACAGAAATACATAAGCGACATGAAGTATATAAGATGTACATTAAACATAGCTCCAAATGAAGTCTTCACCGATTAAATATTTGGGTAAGTTTTGAATCAACTGTTAATTATTAAAAAAATAAGCTAAAGTTTATATTGACTTAAGATTTATAAATTGTTTTTTTTTTTTTTTTTTTTTTTTGGACAGTTGTTGAAAATAAATATATGTATATATTAAGGCATCGATGACTGAGTGTACGATGATGGGAAAATAGATGGTTAAAACTTCAAAGACAACAATCGATGAGTGAGAACATAAGTGACTGACTGCTTGCATACATAAATTTTTAAAAACTTGGCCTTTTACTTGTTTTGATTTGGTTATTTTGATAATGAAATATTGACTGTACGCTGTTAAATGATTTGTGTATGCATAAACATAGGTACATGTAAGTTGTTACGAATCTTTATAAAGACATACACATTTTTCAACTACAACATTAATATACAGATATTATTTTCTTAACTCTGTTTGCTTACTAGCTTATGGCTTATAAAAAATATTGAAAGCAAATTTTTGAAAGCAAAAAACATTCTATGAATATGTTTGCATATATGAAGTCTTCGGAACACCGAATCATACTCTTTCCAAAAGTTGCACAATGTTATTTAAATATTTTAGCCAATCAGAAAGGCAAAGACAGTTTGTTTTGAATTTTTTCTTTCTAGTTTTTTAGGACACGTACGAAATCATAAATTAACGTTATGAATGTATGATGAAAAAGAAAATCTAAATTGCCATCATCCTTTATCTTTTTAACGAGTGAGTAGAAAGTGAAGGCTGGAGAGGGCCCCACATACATACATGCATGCACACAAGTTAATGAATTTGTTTCAGTTATGGTAAACTTTTTGCGAAAGAGATTTTTACATAAATAATTGACAGAAACACAACAGAGGATTTGAAGAAGAAACAGATGTAAGTATTTTTTAAAGAATATGAAAGTTGTCTCGAATTGTCAAGGAACTGCAAAACGTTACTGTTGACATTTACTAATCATTTCAGAACTAATACATATCACCTTTTTGTAAATAATAATAACCGAACCAATGCATTTATAAACAAAAGACGTACTTTCTTATTATAAAGCATTAGTGTCGACAAATGAACAAGATAGCTGGATTTGGCTTAGCAGGAGCTTTATCGCAACACGTACTACAATTCGTCTTCTTAGCCTGAATAATGTCATCTCTTTTACTATTTAAAATATATGAAAATAAATAAACCTATATTGGAACATAATTACCAAAAAACCATACAGATAGAGATACATAAAGAGCTCACTGTACCTATACACATCAGAGCATAATATTTCTATAGCCAAATTGAAGATGGAATATTGCAAATTATAACTCAGCATACAACATATTTAATCCCCTTTTAGCGGATATTATGACAAGAAATGCGTAACGTATAGAAGGAGACATCTCCCAGCCCATAAAGTATATATTCTTGATATGTATCAACAATTCTCATAGGCATTAAACTCTAGTATTTCTTTCAGAACTAACGTCGGAATTTGCCGATTCGGACGATTTTATCATATAACTTCCGTTGGAAAGATCTGTCGGAAATTAATTTCTTGGTTATCCAGATATCTTGAATATAACCGGCATTTATAAGTTGTATTATGCTGTTTACTTATGAAAAATATTAGCATTGGCTGACTACATCATATAGGAATGAGGTTTTTAAAGTCCTTTTTGTGATATTTTTTATTTTTTGATATCATTTCTATTCCCTTCGCATATTTCCTAAGCCTTAAGTCATGTTCCTACAATGCGTCTTCTTCCTAGATTTAAATGTTTATGTTTTATTTTGCTTGCAAATAAATATGTATAAGTTTTTTAAATCATTTTTTTGATAGTTTTACAATCCAGACTGTATAGAAATAGTAAGATGTGTAGAGGGGTGCACGAGCAGACCACAGACGAAAGCAATGAAAACAATTATTTAAAATATGAATATCTGAGCACACAAGGAGGTCTTTAGGAGCACATTTGAATTTATGTTATTTTTATTTATAGGGACATCTGGGATTTAGTATTTAATGGAACTGGGGGATAAAAACGGTTTTTCTACCACAGAGGTTAGAGCTGTTAAGTCTTTCAAAACATGTATAAAAAAATTGTGTCAATTCCATTTACCTTTCATTTTTTTGTTTGTTTGTCATTGCCTACGTTCAAGCATTGATTTTGATAAATTTTGACTATAAAATTGGCGATCTATAATTATATTTAGGTACTTTGATCCGTAGCTTTTTTAACATTGTTAAGTGTTCATATAATTTGTAATTTGTAATTCCTTTAGCGCTGAATATATAAAGGAATTGTAGCCCAGAAGTGTGCACACACACACACATACACAAACACACACATTCAAGGTGTATTATTTTGCCTAGGATAAACCCCTTTTGGAAAGCACATTACGCACACACATTCATATGTATACATATGTTATATATTTTATATGTAACTAATGATTATTGCAGTTGTTAAGTGTGTGTGTTTTGGGCTTATATGTAGCTTTTTATGTAAGTTTTAAAAAGGTTTTTGAGTTTAGTATTAATTAGAAGTTTATAGCAGTAGTAAGTAGTATACAAAAATATAAACTAGTTATGTTTAATGCGGAGCAAATAATGTTTAGCTAAAATAAAATGGACATAGTTTTATGGGTTCATCATTTTAGAAATGGTTTTTAGTAATTTTAGTTTTTTTGTTTTGGTTTTTTGTGTATTTTTTTAATATTTGTATTTTCAGTCATTACTCAGTAATTGCCTCTTTGAAGTTAGAACTCCATCGCCAGTTAAACTATGTGGTTGTAGTTGTTGTTGTATACGATATCAAAATTGTTAGTTCCAAAAAAGGCAAGAAGAAGAAAATGAAATCACTAGGTAAACCTCATTTGATAAGACTTTTAGCTTTGATTGGTGTTTTGTCATCATATCAATATGAATAGGGTGTTCAATACGTAAAACGTTTTTTCGCTTTTATTAAAATAAACTTTGAATTTTGTTTGTAATGGTTCCCCCTTTTATGGAGATGAAGAAAACATCGGTGAAGCTTCGGTATGGTGCACAAAACTGCACTTCGCCTTTTAAAAAAAACTTGTGGGATTTGGAGTTAACTATATAATCAATAAAGCATAAAGAAGTTGTCGCAGTATGAACAAAAAACTACTTATTAACAGCCAATTGCAACTTGTTCATAGTAATCTGCGCAAAACAAAAAAAAAAAAAAATATATAAACAAAAAACATTACGAAAACGATAGAAAAAAAAGTATACGAACCAAGTAGTAAATAAAAGAAGATGATTTATTTACTAGACTAAATAGCTTGCTTATTGGACCCTTACAAATTTTCCAATTTGAATTAAAAATAACCGTTTATAGTCGATGCGCACTATTAAAGATGAAATTAGATTAAAATAAGTTTCACATTCCCTTCATATATACACACAAAAATAGGTAACTATATATTTTTTGAATATTCCAAAAGATTACAATGTCTGCACTTTACTTTGCACAACGGCAATATCTGATGGTAAACATGACATTTACTTGAGGAGTAATCATTTTAAGTGTTAGTCTTCTACAACAATTGCCTCAGAAAAAATATTTGAGATTCGCAACTAATGCGGATGATATGAGACGCACAAGTGAAACACATTCAATTGCTGATGTTAAAGTTAATTTAGCCTATTTACTTTTAATGTACATAGAAGATGTGTTTTATATAATTTGAATACCTTTCATGAATTGGGTTATAGACAATAATTTTAATGAAAATAAGGTTTGAGTATTTGAATTTTTCCTTTTTTAATTAATTGTAAGCATTTATTCATATGTTGGAAAATAAACATGATTTAATGCTAAAATTTTAACCATGTAATCTACTATGATTGAATATTTGTATATACTATTGTGAACGTAAGCATGTATATAAAAAATATACAATTCATTTACCAAATTTAAATGTAATTAAAATAGGGTTTAACAGTTATTGCTGAATATGATGAAATATGTTAGATTTTGCTAGATTTGCTTTGTTTGTTTCTCATGTAAATATTCACTTACCTAGTTCAAAGGCAAGATTACCTATTCTTTTACAAACAATAATATTAAAAGGATTATTATAATGTAATCAGCAATTGAATTGTTAAATAATTTAATTTTCATCTAACAATGTTTTTCGTTTTGCAGACAGACTTTATGACCAAACCAAAGTCAAAGGTAATGTTGTTTTACGTTTCATCATTTGTATTAAGTGAAATCTCGAAAATATCCCAAATTTTGCAAGCAAAGTTACCTCTTAAATACTCTATGTATATTGATCACATATTTAGTCTGCGGGTATTACGATATTTAGCAAGGTTACTAGTGTGCAAAAGAAAAGTTCATCTTTAAAAATTAAACTTGGCCAATGCATACTTCTTTCGGTCAAAAGCAACTAGTTTTTGTCATCGAAAAATTACAAAGAATATTTTTAAACAAGTATATATATTTTAATATGTATGACACGGTGTTTTATGCGCAAAAATAGCATTGGCAGTACAGCCCTAGGTGTTTTGTTTATAACTATTTTAGTGTACTTGTTTTTCAAGAATATATTTCTATGGGCATCTATGGAGGGACTCACCTTGTCAGGCACCGAAATATCGGCGGAACGTAAAGACTCTTCATTTACTGACGGCTCATTGGGTGGTAATCGTTGTTCCTGTACGCTGGCCAAACTGTTCGGGGAGGTGTATATTAGCAATAAATAAACATCTTTGAAAGTAAAGTCTAGCATCGGTTAATTAATGTTTCAATTTCGGATAGACAACTTGAGAGAATAATAAGTAAGAGCTTCCGACTAGGGGTTACCCTGAACCCTCTTCTTCCAACATCAAATGCATATGTATATTCTATTTTAGAAGCAACATATCATGTTTCACGACTCTAGCTCATCTTATTGTATCATAGAATATATGTGTATACTGAAAAAGTCAATTACATTTTAATTTTGGCTTAATTTGGTTGGCAATAAAAGTTGGGTTATCAACTTGATTTATAGCTCTGGGGTGGTAGCGGAGAGGTGGCGATAGGTATTAAATGAAAGATACTTAACAAATATATAATATTTTAGAAGCAACATATGTTTCGTGACTCCACCTCTTGTTATTTACCAAAATTGCCCAAAAAACGGGATATCGATATCGATTTTTATAGATTGCTTGGAAAGTAAGTTATCGATGATCGGAAACAAACTCGATCTGCGCAGGCACCAGGAGCACCTACATCTAAAATTTCAAGTCTATAGCATTTAGCATTTAGTTCTGAGACCCTTGCGTTCATACATACGGACGGACGGACGGACGAACGGACAGACAGACGGACATGGCTAGATCGACTCGGCTATTGAGGCTGATCAAGAATATATGTACTTTATGGGGTCGGAGATGATTCCTTCTGCCTGTTACATACATTTGGATTTTGCACAAATACAATATACCCTTATACCCATTTTTAATGGGTTCAGGGTATAATCATCGAAAAAGTTTCGGTTTTCGCACCGACCTCGATTTTGAAAAAAAAAAAGTGATGTAACCCCTTGCGGGTTTGTCGATTTGGGTCAAAATTTTGAATTAAGCTTAATAAGCTAAGCTTAATAAGCTAATTCTTAGAGATGCTGCTCTATTCAATTGCGCAGTTGCATATAACTTTGTTTTTTTTTTAACCGATCTTTATGAAATTTTCTACACTTAGCTCTAGCTCAAGCAGGTCGAGCTACAAAATTTGACTCTTGACCTGTTTGAGCGAATCAATTTTTCAAGTATACGAAATGCATTCGATGCACTGCTCTTTTTGAAATTTACAAACCGTTTAAGTGTCACTAACGTGCCCGTAAGCTTTTTGCAGCGTCGCAAGGCCGACTCCAGGCGGTCGGGCTCTTCTTTTAGGAACTTTTCTTCACGTACCACCTTCTCCATCTCGTTAGATAATATGCACCGCAAGCCATTTGATAGTGTCGGAAATTTGAGCTTCAGTTCAGCAACAGTTTTGCTACAATACGCCAGTAGTAAGATCAGAGTTGGTTGCGTTTTTTAACGTTAACTTATTGCACATACCTTGCACGACTTAGTACCAGCGCCATGTCCTCGACAGCTGTCATATTGACGCGCGTACGTCGATTGATTACCTCGCCACGTAAGTTCTCCACTGAAGCTTCCAAATCGCTTAGATCCTTTTCAAGACGTATGACCTCCTGTTTGTATAGTTCTTCTTCCCTCGAGATTCGCGTGGTGTCCTGGTCGATTTGCCCCCAAAAGTTGCCACTGCTGGCCAACAATGTGGCACGTATGCGCATAAAGGTGCTCTTGATATCTTCTCGTACGGCTACGGACTGGGCCTGAGATAACCGCCTCAAAGTTCGCACTTCCATGCGCAGGTCCTTTGCCTTTTTTTGCAGGCCACGCAAATGATTATAGACCTCTGGTGCGAGTGCAATGTCCGCGCGGTAGCTAGGATGGGAGGTCTGGGCCAACACAATGGGTTTTGGCGGTGGAGGGGGCTTTAGGCGATCGCGCTCTGCGGGTTGTTTTAATTGTAAGTGAACGAACAGCAACTTAAATCATTTATGAATTTGATTATTTGTAAAAAGTATATTTTACGTGATTTTCGTTTTATGCATGCGTGATTGTTGTATGTCTTTTAAAGTATCCCTGCGTTTAAGAAATGATTCCCTTCGGTTCTTTTATAGGGCTCTTACCTTGAGACGATGTACGTGGCAAGGTAGACGACTTGATTGCTGGCTTTGTTGGTTTCGTATCAGCTTTGGGTCCGGTGCAGAATAATTTTTTTGAATAAGGATGAGTATTAATATAATAGCATCAAGTTTGGAACTGTAATCTTTGGTTCTACTCAAAGGGTATATCAACTTTACTACTATTGTCTAACTGATTTATGATATATATATCTGAATGATATATAAACAAACCAAAGTCAGGGAATGCAAAGTCAATGTGCACATCATTGAAATTCTTAGACATCGTTTAACATAATTCACGTGATATTTCAACAAAAACCAAATGTAGCAAAAAAGCGAAAATAAAGAATGATGTATAAAATTGTGATGATAAGTAATTTCTTGGATTTATTTTTATTTACCGGCATGTATAGGACTATGAGACTTGGGTATTCCCTGTATATCGTCGCTAAATGAAACAGATTTCTCAAATGATACGGATTTTTCTGAAAAGTAGAGCATGTCTAGGACACTGATGTATGTGCAAAAGTTGGACTATACTTACGACAGGAGTTCTTTCCCAGTTTGGGTGCCTTTTCTCTTATATATAGTTCATCAGCGGAACCATTAGCTAAATAATAGTAAAAAGTAGAGATTAAAGATCAAAAATCATTACAATTGTATATATGAAAGTATATACTTTTATGTGTTTGAATAAACGGTCAACCAAACTCGAAAGTATTCAAACAAATCAAGTCCTACCCGTTCGAGTCGCATGTTTGGTCAAGTCCTTTTGGTTGCAACTTGAACAGCTTGAACCGAAAAATGTAGTCTTAACTAGCTTGAGCATTATTCGAGTTCACGATTGGGTTACCTTAGAATCATGAACATAACGACTTACCTTGCATTTGTGATGGCACAACGAGATAGTTGGAATCTAATGTGGGCACAGCCATTGGAGCGATTTGGGGATTTTGATTGACTAAAGCCTTCTGGACCAATCCAGTCAGGTTAGCCAATTGACGCTCCATATGCTCAACGCGTATGCGATGTAAGTCTTCAGGTCTGTAAAGATAAATAAGAACATTCGACACGCTTTTGAACAGATACTGTTTATGATTTACACACAAGTTTGGCCCACAGTTGTGACAAGCATATTCAGTCGCATTTCCGCCGCGAGACCAGTTCTAATTGAGCAACCAAGCCTAAAGCCATACGTCGGATTTTAAGCTTGAAAGTCGAAATAATTTACTCAGGCAAGCGTTACAAAGACGGCTACACAAATCGTACTCCAAACGCATTCATGGCCATTTGTTTACACACAGTCGCTTCTTACAGGCCCAAGTACCAGACAAAACCATGGCCTATTGCAGCGGTAGATATTCACGCGGTTAACCAATAATCTGAATCACTTTACTTTGATCAATAACTTGTTGCTTAATAGTGACCAGCACGCCACAACGCTTTGCAAACTGTTTGTCAAATTTTCAAATACATGATTTGCTTGTGTTGAAGAAATCAATGGAACTCATGACTCACGCCGAGAGTCAGCGCGGAGGCCTTACCGATGATATTGCAAGTTGCACTAATGCGACTGATGAGCCCCAGCGCATGGCTTTAATGGCTGCCGATCGGTAAGTCAGTAAACGCTCTTCTTTTAATCAGATCCTATTCACAATCTTTTCATAGGGGTGACCATGGCATGTCGGGCGGTGGCAACCAACAGCCCTGGCAAAGTGATCCGGCAGCCTCCTGGGTCGAGGAGAAGCCATCCAAGCTGCAGACATTGTTTCAAATAAGCATTACTGCCTTGGCTTTTCTTTCGTTTGGCGGCTATTTGCTTTGCCTCATAGTTCAGGCCATTAAGAGCAAAGGCACAACCTATTTTCATCCGGTAGCCACAGCAACTACAACTAATACAAATGGGAATGTGAAGCGTATAAAAATTTACAGACGCAGTAGACGTCGACGCGGCGTCAATTCAGCTCACATCCCAAATATACTCTTGGCGGACTATGCGACTTATATGGAATCCGTACGAAGCCAGCGTTTGGGCTATGCTCACCTGGTTGGGTCGTAGATCTGATTACCACGATGCGGCAGACGGTTAGGGCCCACTTTAATGCCGTACAACGAATACTGGTCTTCCGCGAGGGCCACATCGCTGTGAAAATAGTATAAAGAGAAAGAGTATACTGTTGAGTGCATGCACATACATTTATGTTTATAGATTAGAATGAACTCCCGGCATCGACCTGGTTACGCAAGGCGCCAACTTAAGGCTGAAAGAATGCCACTCAAGCTCCCGTTCCGCGGCTATGCATATTAAAAACAGATATTTTGTCTACATGGAAGCCTAATCTGCTACTCAATACACTGATTAACTTTATTATTTTTAACTTTCATTCGTTTATTTTCCATTTATTTATAACAAACTATATAATCAGATATAGAAAGTGCTGCTTGGTTGGAACCGATGACCTTTTGCTTATTAGATTGATGCTCACACACCTATTTTGCTTAATGTTTTTCATACTCACTTCAGTCTAAAAGGAAGCTTCAGCAGCTTCCTAGCTCTAACAGAGTCAGTTGTCTGTTGGTCTCCATCAAGTCAGTAAGTCTGGACAGTAGGATAACACATATATATATCTTATAGCTAACCTTTGTTCCTCGTCAATGATGGGAGCCACAACAGCGCCGCGAGTACCGTACTGGCTATAGTATGGTTCCTCATAGTTGCCACGTACGCTTCGTTCTGGAGAGCTGGTATATCCGTCTGCAAAATCAACACAGTTAAAAGTGGTCTATCATTGACGACTTTCGTGTGTAACTTTAATTTTTGTAGTATATATGATATAAACACAAAAATAAACACTATTCATACAAGACAAAAAAAAATATATATATTTACGAATTAGTTCAATATATAAATCTTACTAATTTGTAACTGTCACGCTCAATTTTTGAATCCATAAAAAGCGTAACCAATGCATTGTATACATGAACTTATACTATATATGAATGTACATGGAAAAAAGTTATTTGTTCTTATCGTAAGTAAAGAAAAAGAGGTATATATTCGTGTACCTGGTATACTGTATAATTGATCCGAGGAATATGGAAACAGGGGTTCCATGCTACCCCTTCGATTAATCGATCTGAATGGTTTCACAGGCGTTCCTTTTATATTTTATTTAATTATACATAATATATTTACGCATGGGGGTTTTAAACAAAGCATGTTCAACAATTTGTATGTATAAATATGTATGTATTCTATTATTCATACATGTTTATAAAGATAGTTTATAAAACAAACTCTTTTATTTATACCCAATATTTTGTACAACGTAAATTAACTTATTGAAAATAATTCGAAGGAAACACAAGAAAGAACAATTAATATTTAGGGTGCCGAAGATTAAGTAACCCTTACAGACAAATCATTTACATTCCAACGGAAACTTCATATATAAGTATATATATAATATAATATATATATATATTTTATGTATATATATATATATATATATATATATATATATATATATATACAGACACCTCTTAAACAGTCAAACAACCTCAGTAACAATCTCCACGTCAAAAAGCGCAGACGTGTAAAATAATGTATGTAAAATGTTCGAAATAATGTTTAATTTATTGTATTATAATTGTTAATTGTTTTTTGTATCTTGGTGTTAGTGCCCTGAAGACGGTTTGCCGATGTGCAACCGAAATATATCGGAAGAGAATTGAATAAAATTGTTTTTCATTGTTTGTTTTAACAAACACGGACCTCGAGCCAGCCAACAAATAAATATTGAAATATGGAAAGGTCGCCAGAGCCATCAATAAATATCAACGGAAGGCACGCCGTATGCACAGCAACCAACATGAGCTACGCAAAAATAAAAACTAAATACAAGGATTCGAAAAGAACAATTAATAAATTCCAACTAACACTGGTAAAATTAACTAAACTTAAATCTAGTTTAAAATTTTTGTTAAAATGTAGAAAATCAAATTTAATACCTAACTTCATCAAAAACTTGACACAGCATTTGACCATACTGACCACTGACAATAAAACCCACCCTGACATAACAAGAACATTGACTAGACACACACATTTTTACCATACCAAAATATTAAACTTACTTATAAAACACAAACACAACCTATTACAAGAACAAACAAAACATATGGAAAAAGCAAAAACAAACATAGAACAACTGATGACCACAGATGACGCAAAAGCGTTTTTTGAGAGCGAGAGAAATATAGAAAACAAAATAACAACAACACTCAAGAAAAGACAAGAAACGAAACACGATAAGTTACGAGATCAACGGAACCTAGCCTTAGCGGATAACAACACGCAAAGAGAGTGGTTTGTAAACAAAACAAAAATAGAATTCCCGCCAAACGTCGTAGCGTTACTCGCAAAAGGGCCGAAGTTCGCTCTCCCAATCAGCAAGAGAGATTTTCCTCTCTTGAAATACATCGCAGACGGTGAGGAGCTAGTGCAAACAATAAAAGAAAAGGAAACACAAGAGTCGGCGCGCACAAAATTCTCTTTGTTAGTCAAAGAGCATAAAACCAAGAACAACCAAAACAGTAGGGATCGAGCAATACTGGACACAGTGGAACAGACACGAAAATTACTGAAAGAAAATATAAATATTAAAATTCTATCGTCGGATAAGGGCAACAAAACCGTAGCAATGGATGAGGATGAATATAAAAATAAAATGACAAATATTTTAGACGACTTATGCGCGTATAGAACATTGAGACTGGATCCGACATCAAGACTACAGACAAAGAATAACACCTTCGTAGCACAATTATTCAAGATGGGTCTTATTTCAAAGGACGAAAGAAATAAGATGACTACAACAACAGCGGTACCTCCGAGGATATATGGACTACCAAAAATACACAAGGAAGGAACTCCACTGAGACCAATATGTTCTTCCATAGGATCTCCATCTTACGGGCTGTGCAAATATATAATACAAATATTAAAAAATCTGACAATGGACTCTAGGTACAACATCAAGAACGCGGTAGATTTTAAAGACAGAGTCAACAACTCCCAGATTAGAGAAGAGGAAACATTAGTATCTTTTGACGTAGTATCCTTATTTCCCAGCATACCAATAGAATTAGCACTTGACACAATAAGACAAAAATGGACCAAATTAGAAGAGCACACGAATATACCGAAACAACTATTTATGGACATAGTTAGATTTTGCATACAGGAAAACAGATATTTCAAATACGAAGACAAAATATACACACAACTTAAGGGAATGCCAATGGGATCACCGGCTTCCCCAGTAATCGCAGATATATTAATGGAGGAACTGTTGGACAAGATTACAGATAAATTAAAAATAAAACCAAGACTCTTGACCAAATATGTAGATGACCTTTTTGCCATAACGAACAAAATAGACGTGGAAAATATTCTAAAAGAATTGAATTCCTTCCACAAACAGATAAAATTTACAATGGAATTAGAAAAGGACGGGAAATTACCATTTTTAGACTCTATTGTAAGCAGAATGGACAACACACTCAAAATAAAGTGGTATAGGAAACCCATAGCCTCCGGACGAATACTCAACTTCAATTCAAACCACCCAAAGAGTATGATAATCAATACAGCACTAGGCTGTATGAATAGAATGATGAAAATATCGGACACAATATACCACAAAGAAATTGAACATGAAATCAAAGAACTTTTGACCAAAAATGACTTCCCCCCAAATATAATCAAAACATTATTAAAAAGACGACAAATCGAAAGAAAAAAGCCAACAGAACCTGCTAAAATATACAAATCACTAATATATGTACCACGACTATCAGAACGCCTCACAAACTCAGACTGTTATAACAAACAAGATATAAAAGTAGCACACAAACCGACGAATACATTACAAAAATTCTTCAACAAGATAAAGTCGAAAATCCCGATGATCGAAAAAAGCAACGTCGTTTACCAAATACCATGTGGCGGGGATAACAACAACAAGTGCAATAGTGTCTACATAGGTACAACAAAATCGAAGCTAAAAACAAGGATTAGTCAACATAAATCGGACTTCAAACTAAGACATCAAAATAATATACAGAAAACAGCACTTATGACCCATTGTATAAGAAGCAACCACACACCAAATTTTGATGAAACAACAATCTTACAACAAGAACAACACTATAACAAGCGACACACATTGGAAATGCTACACATAATTAACACACCAACCTACAAACGACTAAACTACAAGACAGACACAGAAAATTGCGCTCACTTGTACAGACACCTCTTAAACAGTCAAACAACCTCAGTAACAATCTCCACGTCAAAAAGCGCAGACGTGTAAAATAATGTATGTAAAATGTTCGAAATAATGTTTAATTTATTGTATTATAATTGTTAATTGTTTTTTGTATCTTGGTGTTAGTGCCCTGAAGACGGTTTGCCGATGTGCAACCGAAATATATCGGAAGAGAATTGAATAAAATTGTTTTTCATTGTTTGTTTTAACAAACACGGACCTCGAGCCAGCCAACAAATAAATATTATATATATATATATATATATATATATATATATATATATATATATATATACGTATATATATATATATATATATATAACTTCATATATAATTACATCATATTATATTTTAGATTTGGTCAAACTCATTTAAACAGACAAACGGACTTGTCTTTATCAAGATTGGTATTCTGTACAAATGAATATGTGCTTTAAAGGGTTAAGGAATGTTAACAACAGTTTCAAAGGACTTGTTTATTTACAAATATTTAATGCATTACACACACATACACACATATCTATTTAAAAGTACGTATGTGCGCATGTACACAGCCCTTCGTGGTACTGAAATAAGCATAACCTATTGAAAAGGCAAAACTATTAAATAATACAAAATATAAATAATACTTAACTGATGAATGAAAAACAGCTGTAGTTTTAAGCTTACACTAATAAATAACTTATTTACGCACCCATCGAGACTTTGGTACGTTCTGAGGCGTACATGCCACGTGGCAGCGTCTGTGAGGAGCCAACATAATATGGAGCTGGTTGTTTGCCAACCTGAAAAAAAAAAACAATAATATGAACATGAATAATTAAGTCATCCAATTGTAATTTATAAATATATAAAGACACTTACTTACTTACTTACTTAAACGGGTTATGAATCGCAGCCTTATGTGTTCTGCAACGAACCCGTTGGAATTTTAAATTTCTTTACTATTTTCTATATATAAAATGGCCCGAATCAAAAAACAAATCAGTTCCCAAAAAGCAGCTGAGCTCAAACAAAACAATTTTAAAAGCTGGATTGGCTAAAAATAAAGAACTTCTAAGGGCTACTCAACCCCAGATCTCCAGTCAGCCGGAACCCGGTTCAAACTGTAAGTCGAACCCCTGATTATGAATGAAAATATATTAATGCATGTAGATAAATAGTTTGCAACCAGAAGTGAAGAACAAATTATTATGATTTACAGCCTTGACAATTTCATACGGGCCTTCATTCGGGTGGCAAAAATGTGAAAAAGTTTCACTTCAATTTCAGGTCAATTGTTTAGGTTAACTATACTCACACATCAATGTTTGGCTTGAAATTCCAGAGGGCTGGGCCAACAAGACAAAACCTAATCGATGCACACATGTTGTAACAAAATAACACACCCATTTAATCAAACTCTTTGCCAATTATTGACGTGTCTGCTCGTTCAGCAGCTTATATTGCTTGATAAGCTTTCTCTTGTCCGAGACCTTTGTTTTCTATTTCAATCACAGGGAATTATAAGAATAGTATATTACATGAAAGTTATAGAATGTTAGGGTATTCGATAACAAATCGAAGGATCCACAAGCTACAGAAAAGTTATTTTACTTTACGCACAAGAAAATACATTAAGCAACAAACGAATATATTTCATTCTTTCAGCTTAGATGTATATTTAATTTAATAAAAGGTATACATTTTGAACTGAAAGCTTATATCTAATCTAATATATATTTTATATTTTGTATTATTTAATATATTTTATTATGTTTTATTTTACATGAAAGGCATAACAGCAATAAATGTAAATGGCTGAATCGAATCACTATATCTTTAGTGGTCATACGAGCGATCGGTGGAAAATTAAATCTCAATAAAGTCTTTTTTATAATTTTGTCGTATCTACGAGGAAATCTATTTTTTTTTTTTTTTTTTTTGTATATTTATAATGTATATAATCATAGCTTTACCAAACTCCGCATTTATGACTTTTCAGGACTCCACGGAATCTTGGTAAAACATAATTTTGTTTAAAAATATCCTACGTCAGCAAATACAAATTTGTTTTTTGCGAACTCCCTTCAAATATATAATTAAAATTCTAGAAGACATTAGTAGATACCTCCTACGAGGTAATCTAATTTGCGGCGCAATAAAGGCAACTGTTCTCTTTAGATCAATTTTCTTAGCAGTAGCATTTAATATTTGTCAATCGGATGTTGACTGATTTATGAATGATGAAAGGAAACCGCTAGAGTGATTATAACACAAGCAGAGTGGAGACCGTTGGCTTATAATAATTCGCATTCAACTGGTTGTGAGGGGCAGCAGGTGGGCAGCTGTGTCAGTGCATACTTACATAAATGTGAGCACACACATACGTGGTTCATTCGTTGCAGTCGGACAAAAAGCTCGGCTCTGGAGAAGACAAAAACAAAACGCCAACCAGTTTCAATTTCAATACAATTTTACAATTTGTTACAACTGGCCGAGAGACGTACTCGCACAATCTTCGGGGATTACTACGGGCTCTCGGTGTTGTATGCGGTTGTAGTTGTTTTTATTTTTATTTTTCTTTACCGCTCCGCTCGACATAGCTTCGGCGCATGCGTAAACGGCCAGTAAAGTGCGAGACAGCGCCGCAGACGGACGTAGAAACGGTATAAGTTGAATCCAAAAAAAATTCCAAAAGCCAAAACCAAAGGTACTTCCCGGCAATAAGTAATATGGTTAGGCTGCACAACCGATTATTTTGGCCAACAGGCTGTGGAGCGGGATTGCTGCTCATCACATTGCTCGGCGGTGTGCGCGTTTCCTTCGCCTGGAAGCCTATTGCTTCCGGCAGCCCCATAACATCCTACAGCCTCAAGCAATCGCATCCAGGTGAGGCCAGCAGCAGCCACGAGCTGACCACAAGCTATGGCCAATTTGGTGGCGATCAAAAGGAGGAGGACGATCTATTGCTGGCGCGCGCCGCTGTCGTGAATGGCGTGGAAACTGGCATCACGCACCCCATCACATTGGCGGACGATCACGAAAACCATTACGAGTCGTACAGCTTAAAGGATGATGTTGTTGAGGAACCTTCTCTCAGCTTTCCCCGTTCTCCACTCTATGTCGCCGATCGCTGCAGTGTCAAGAAATTCGCATTCAATCAGGACGGCGCGGTGGAGTACGGCAACGAGTTGCCCGAGCTGGATCAGTTCACGTTATGTTTCTGGATGCGTTTTACCAATCATAGCGGCGACCATGTCATGTTGACCTACCAAGGTGAGTGTGGGGGGTTATGCCGTCTACAGAAGAGGTAGGTTCATCTGAGGAATTATTAATTTTTGCTGACGAAATAATTATGTATACAAAAAAGAAGGGCCTGTTGAAGATACTTTCTTTAATCAAGCACGACCGCCCTTTTACATAAGCGAACGTTAATTGTTTCGATGCCCCTGTCAGTCAAGTTGAGAGACCTTCGCTTTGTGCGACCTGTGACCAAACTAAATTTGTGTGGACCACGATCCAGCATTCGAACCTGGCCCCAAAAAGTGAAAGGGATCCAACTCCCTGATGCCAACCGCACCGAATAGACAGAGTGAATGTTTTTGATCTCATGCAGCAGACGGTTTGTGATCATGTTGATGTTATTGTCTGATATGATTTGAGAGATAAATGAGTGACAGCAGGGCTTAACACATTTTTTGATGGTCAACACAGACGCAGATACGGGTCGACAATGACGCGAAATAACGACCATTTATTTTATTATGCCAAGTATCTTAGAGATGATTTGTCTACTCTTCGCCTTTTATCTTCCAACTATTTCCAACTTCCCCACAACGACGGCATCGTCGCTTGAGATACATTACATAAGCGCTAAATTTACCTGTTTGCAGTAAGCGGCTGCTGCTACCGCCTGCTTTTGTTATTTTAACTGTTTGAGATTATTTTAAATATGCAATTTGAGCTGCGTGAAAAGCTTCCGGGACCTGGACAGATGCCGTCTTGACCCGAGACAACATCTTCCACTAAACCTGCACACCTGCACAAATTCAGTCTGCAAGGCTGAGCCAACAAAACTGGTCGACGATAGTCTACTCTGCCACAAGATATTGCATATCTCTTATGTTAACATGATTTCTCCATATTTCCCGCTTAATACTCTGGCATCATAGGCGAGTGGCAAAAGAAAGAAAGATATTTAGCTGGTCAGCACAGGGATAAATCTGACTGACATACAATAAATTTAAATTTAATTAAATTTATTTTGTTGAATTATTTTTTCCTTGAAAATATGTAGCTTTGGCCTGCATCCGCCTGAAGTTAGTGCAAATCCAAACAGTTTCGGTACCTTAACATTATTTGTATAAAAATCTCAGACTAGACTTCATAAATGAAAAGGAAGATTCTCGTGCACTATTCAAATATCAAGTATCTTTCACTTTTTGGATATCAGTTAATTGCTGAGCTCGTGTTGCAACAGAGCAGCATCACGCAATTTGCTCTGATTTCATAACAGCCAATTAACTCTGTTTTACGTCTACAGTGAAAAAAGAACCACGCGAAATACAAATCTGGGTCGCCAATGCGCAAAATTCCAGTTTCCTATCGATGGCCATAAAGGGTCAGCAAATGTACAGGTACGTTTCATTTCATTTCAATCATTCAAACTGCATATCTTTCCATTCAAGAGTGGGTTTATAATATTGCGCTGTTCTCTTTTTTTTCTGTGGGGTCCACCTGATTTTGGTTTAGATTAAATTACCCGCTGCGTATGCGGCAATGGCATCACATGTGCAGCTCGTGGAATGGAAAGACCGGCGAGTGGCAAGTCTGGCTTAAGGCAGAACGTATTGGGCGTGGCTTCCACAATTCGGTGAGTAACGAGTCCAGCTCAAACTGGGTGCCACTTTTAAATTACGCTTTTAATTCGAGCATCGGAAACAGTATTAACCAAGCCAACGACAACTGCCTACAGATGGCGACACAAATTGCGGTAATTGGTTACCAGCCATATTTGAATTATGCTATTGCTGAGATATTAAATATCAGTTTTCTCACAATATGCAGCGTGCCCATATATACATAAACACTAATATCTCAAAGCTGCCTACTAATGGCAAATAAAAAAAAAAGTAAGAGGTTCGAGTCGGGAGCTCCTGACTAGGGAATACCCTGAACTCCCTATTCCAACACCAAATAAATTTAAAAAAAAAGTTCCCTTGGCAGGGTTCGAACTCTAGCTCTTATATGTTCTGAGATCCTTGCGTTCATACATACGGACAGACGGACATGGCTAGATCGACTCGCTTATTTACGCTGATCAGGCTTTATGGGGTCGGCGATGCTTCCTTCTGCCTGTTACATACATTCGCATACATTCGCATTTTGCACAAATACAATATACCCTTTTTCTCATTTTTAAAGGGTTCAGGGTATAATTATGTTCTTTGGTAAGTGGTCATTCGCAGCTTGTTTGGTGCGAATATAATGTATCTGTATGAATCGTCGAAAATTATTCGAGGAAAACCGAAATTTTTGTATTAACCAATTCAAAATTCATTTCAACCAGAGTTTAAACTTGCTCGTAGGAAGTAGAGTTAGCTTTAGTTTAACATTTGCGCAAGTTATGGTAAATATACGATATAATCTTGAAAAACATTCCTTTAGCAGCTGTTTTATATATTGTTCCGATGTAAATGAAATTTGACATAAATGTAGAAAACATAGTGAAATCTCTAAATTTCGAGTTTAGTCAAAAAAGATTTCCATACAACAACTTTATTTCGACCGATCGTTCCTATTTCAGCTATATGATATAGTGGTTGGATTTTTATATAATTTTGCATATATATGAGAATCATAGTAAAACTACTAAATGCAGAGTTTGGTCAAGATATATAGATTAACAAAAAAGTTTGTCATACAATAACCTACTTTTCGACCGATCGTTCCTATGGCAGCTATATGATATAGTTTTCCGATGCAGCCGACCCCGACATATGTACTGCGTGCAACAGAAAGAGGCACTTCTCAGTCAAGTAAGGTTGCAGTTTAGCAGCATTAAAAAGCATACAGCTGCTGCATGTAATTATGTTTAAAATAATATGTAATATTTCAAAATCGAATTATGTAGAGTGTCAATCATTTTACAGCTAGTGGGCCATAAAATACCCGCAAAAGGAAAACTGAGATCAGGCGGCAGCTCAGTTACCGGTGAAGTGAGCCACGGTCTGCATTTCGAGGTTACCCTCGTGCAAATTTATCGCGTAGCCTTGAGCGCAGGAAAGGCACATCGGGATCACAAACACCACCATGTGCACCATGTCGACCACGATGGTCAGGAGGTGTCCAGCACAGCGCGTGCGCCGCCAATGGTTAGTATTTAATGGTCGTGCTCCCCTATTGGACGACGTCTAATACTTTCGTGATTAAATTCAGATTAATCGACCTCAGCCCATGCACTCGCTACTCGCCAGCGGGCAAATCCCCACCAGAGTGCGCATCAATCTGGCCGGATCAGGGCCAACGCAGAAACCGCCCAACGGCGGCGCCAACGGTGCTGAATTCCCACCCCAACAACAAGCAATAACCGTCAACACGAATTTTGTCAACGGTCAGATTAACGCTGGTTCTCGATTGGTGGCTCAGCAGTTGCTTGGTATTTTGCCCATAGCCCAAAGCCGACCTGGCTCGCCACCCCTGCTTGCAAGTGAGGCAGGTCGGTTCCAGATGCTCAGCAACTCGGCCAATGTGCAGTTCATAGATGAGACAGAGACGCATATACAGTTCAAGCGACACGCGGCGAATACGGATGCGACAACGCTGAGAACTGCAACTAATGATAAGAAGCTGCGGAAACGAGGCCTGGTGCTACTGGACGATGGTTCTGTTGTGGATGATGGTTTGGGCACCAGCAGCGAGGCATTTAGCAAATACAACGGTCTTGCCGACTTTGGAGGTCAACAATTCAAACAGGATTTGACGTTGAAAATGACACTTGAGGAGGAAATCAGTTCACACGACCGCGAGCCTGCCGAAGAGGAAGTCAAGGCGGTTATGAGCATCTGCAGCAACTGCGACCCAGAGCCTTTTCAGGGTGCAATTGTGTTCAGCTGGAAGAACGTGGAGGAACACATGAACAACACGCTCAAGGGTCTCAGTGTGGGCACCTGCGGCAACTTCTAGCTGCCTCTACCAGTCATAAACTAGCCCGAGAGCTAAATATATTTAAGCAGCAAGGAGCAAGGTGGTGCATATAACGCTTATTGTACATAATTACATATATTATTTTGTTTTTTTTTTTTTTTTTTGGGATTGAATGTATGTAAGTGCACATAAGTAAATAAGTATCCACGTATGTATGTACGTATATAGACATATTAATGGATAGACAGATGTATATACATACGTACTAAAGTTGGGCAACCGACTTTATAACAAAATCCTCACCTCTATGTATATATGCACATATTTATATAAATATATATCACGGTGGGTCTCCACGGTCTTGAAATAGTTGTTCATAAAACCGACGAAAAGCCATTGGCAAATAAAACTGGCAACAATCTTTCTCTTATAATTTAATCGGGGATACTAGCCCCCAAAAGTAAAAAATGTTTTTAGTTTCGAACCCGCTTTCCCTATCAATAAACCCTTGACTACCCAAAACTAATGAAAATATTCAAATTTAGATTTAGAATTACTTTTTCTCCTAAAATCAATACATGTGACACACACTATATAAATGTAAACTCTATCGAATATCGGCATTTACAAAATACGGTCAGATATATCCAATGATTGGAGCTCGAACCTTATCGGTTCATATGGCTCTAATTAAATGGAGCTAATTTGGTTTTAAATAGGTCTTAGGCCTTAATTTGAAAATCGGTTTACCTTAGATTTGTGAATGTGCTGGTGCTTGAAGTCCGAATCGAATTCTGGCTCACTAAAGTAGCTCTGATCCTGATCCCAGCTAGATGGTGCCTGGGGCAGCGGCTGTGGTATACCGGGACCACCTGGCAAAATCTGAGGCGGAGCGGCTACCTCTGTGGACTCAAAGAGACGCAGCACCGAGCGATCACGTATTTCGCGCAAGTGCGAACGCACATCTTCCAATTCATAGAACATGTCCTTGCTGGCATCATGAATGTAGATCTTAACGTTCGGTCCTTCCAAGTACGACATGGTCAACTGACGGGGAAACGAGCGCACAAACAACGCCCTCACCGTGTCTATCGACGTGATTTCATTTGGGAGTAGTGCTCGCTTTGTTTCTGATCGGTATTGTAAGAATACAAGCCCCAACGGTCGCTCCAGTGTCTTGGAGGGTGTGCGCACTACTGGCAAAGATGAGCGCTGTTTACCGCCGCGCCGAAAGCCAGTGCTAGCAGTTTCCACCTCGGACATAATGCCGGGGTCATCGTCGAACAACGGACCCTGATTAACGGGTGCATAGCCGCGCATTGGCTGATTCTTCTTGTTCTTTTGCGCTCGAGTACTCATCTGCAACAAAAAGTACGAAAAGTGTTGCAATTGGATTTTGTCTGGATGCTGGTTTCTTGCTTACTTCCAGGTCCATGGCACGTTGCTGCTGTGGCATTTGATGTGCGTGAGGATGTTGAGAACTTCCATAGACTAAAATGTCGCCACCAAGTGTGTGGCGCCGTGGATCGTCGCGGCGCATTGCGCGTCTGCGCTCGTCGCCTCCTGTAAATGTATACGGAAAAACCAGTAAGAGCATGCATCAAATAATGGTGTTGCCGATGTATTCATGTTTAGGTTATTATATACCTTGATCGTTAGTCGGTAAGCGGCCCGGTTTGTTCTCATTTTGCCAGTCTTCTTCTGAAAATGTAGCCAAAAGTGCGTTAATAATACGGCAAGATAATAAGCAATTGAGCGCAGTCGTTATCGATAGTTGATAGTTGATATCGATTATTGCAATGCCTGCAATTTCCAATGTATGTACATATTTTGACAGACTGTTTTTTTTAATGGCATGCATTTAAATATGTATATATGTTAAGTATACACATATATACATATTTTTATATATATGAGCTTATATGTTATATTTGCATGATCATTTGCATTTGTATGTGCAATTATTTTGCTTGCGACTCTTTTATTTTATATTATTGGCAATTCATTGCAATTACCTCCTTCTCGTCCTTTGCGTTTCTTTTTCGACGATGAGCTGCTGTTCGCGCTGCCACTTTGATTAGTTGATGCACTTTTATCTTTGCTCTTCCAACGAATTAACATTTTGCCGCTTTAGAAGCTGTTTGTGTTATAGTCAATTGTATTTGGCTTATAAATTATAACGCACAAGATTTGTGCACCTTAACAAGACAAGACAAGAAAAAGTCAAAATACGTATTATTCACATACATTTATATACGTGAAAAGTAATATGGATACATAAATACATATGTACAATTGTGTGTGTAAAAATACAATAAGAATCTTGAATTTATAAATACTAATATATAAAGCGAGTTAAATAAGTATATGTATGTGTGCGTTTGTATTTGTTGTTTATGTATTCCATTAAAATTGCACTGCAATTATGTGCGCACCTACGAAGGTGTATACATACATACATATGTATGTCAAAAGCATCGATGACTGTAGATAAAGCGGCTTAATTTTAACTTTGTTTACATATTGTGCCGGCACGAATTATCACAAGCATACAAAATGTATATGTTCGTATGCATCTACGTAGATATGTGAATTTGTGTAATAATCTTATATCTGCTTGGAATTACATACACACATCGCATCGAACATAACCATATACATACATACATATTTGACACTACCTATAAATGCAAAAGCACTTCTGAGCAAACATATGTAAGTATTTAGTGTAAATATGTATGCATGTGTAGAGTATGTGGGTGTGGTGGAAAATGAAAAGCATCAATAACTGCCAAGTAAGTACGAAAACTTTGTATTCCTTTCGGGGTCTACATACATACATACATGCATACACATGTTCACATGTATGTGCATACATATATACGTACATGCAAGCTTCAAAGTGAATATTTCGGAAATACCGCACAGTATTTACATAAATGAGTTTGGATATCAAAACATCTTAGTGTAGTGGCATTTGAAAGGACATTGGAGCTGTATTTACAAATGAATATGCATAGATGCTTACATACATACGTCTGAACCAAAGGTATAAAGATATATATGTATGTATTTATGCACAAATATGTATGTATACGAATGACAGTATTTACCATCTAAAAAATGTTTGATGCTGACTGCATTATGTAGATACGTATTTAATTATGTTTAACAATTATAATTCTCATACGATGCTTTATTCATCCGAATAAGGACAAGGAAATTGATGTATAAGTACATACATATGAATGTACTGCTGTGAGCCAGATGCGAGTAAATGAAAAATATGTTGTACCAGTAGCATGGCCGGGCCTGTTTGTTGCTTAACGTATAATTGATAATTATGCACTTTGTCAGTAAGATCTCGTGATTTAAGGATGTTTTAATTCGTCTTGCGCTAATCGCAGCCGTCGTAATTGACCGCGTTTAAAACCCGTTCGATACGTTTTAACACTCAACAGCAAAATTATTTCTGGTATATCAGAATACGTTTCCGCCCTAAAAGATACGCGGGATAATTTTATGGCGCATGCGTTGGCCAATCGCGCCGGTGTGGCCAATTTGCAAAAAGGAATTCAAAGCTTCCAACGAAAAGCGCAGGCAAAAAGCAATCAGCGAGCAAATAAATAAGCGAATTCCCACTAAAATGTAAAACTTGACAGGAAAAATAAATATTAACTTAATAAAACAGTCTGTTTTATATTTGCTAAAGAACTTTATATATATAAATATATATACATTTTGCAAATCAGCATCTAATTTTGCCTTTTCTATTGAAATATTAATAACACAATGCGATCGCAGCTTAAATTATACGAATTCGGTATACATTTTTAACATTTTGGGCTTAAGGCTTTAAGGAATAAATACAACCCGTGAATATAAATTTGCAAAATATTGTTTTATCCCAAAATAAAAAAACAGGTTTTAAACATAAGAGCCACTTCTTATAATATCAAGCACATAAACAGAGATTTTTTGATTCTATTGATTAATTTATATAATAATTAAAATAGAATATGCGTTCTTCAACCGCCTACTTAGATTTTAACTTTAGTATATGGCTTTAACAATTCAATTTGTGGTTTTTTTGCAGCAGTATGACTTTTAAAACATAAATTGATTAATTAATAAAATCAATTAATTAAAAAAATATAAATAAATAAATTTATGTTGTTTTCCATGAGACTTTTCTGGTCAAAAGCATCAGCATAAAATGCGGCTACGAACCGGGTTGAGAAAGCCTAACAATAGAGTTCAGAGCGAAAATGATAGCAGCCACGCATTCAATATTTTTAAATAAGCATAAAATAAGTTTAGTCTTGAGGACCCTATATGTTGGTCACATTGAAAATACATCATAAATATTTTCAAGATCACACGCAAATATTATTCTCTGTACAAAATGTAATGTTGTTCGCTTACAACCCTGAAAACTTCATATCAATAGCATTTTATAGTATTCACATAGAGAGGATAAGAACATCGAGATCCGGGGTGTCTTTCTATTAAAAAATGTAGACAAGTAGCACAATGGCAATTGATATATTTAATATGTACATAAAACTGTCCAAACGAATACAAATTGTATAGATAACAGTTGTATAGTTTTCGTATACAAATATAATTCTACTTTTTGTCTATAATTATATTACATAAATATTGTGTATCCCGTTTGCATAAATATATTTCCATTATTCTTTATAAGTTTACTGTTTTTTCTAAGCTTTGCAGACTTTTTCTGCCTGATTTTGTACGTTCAAAAAGGCTTAAAGTATGAGAGAGATGAGAGATGGCAGACACAAGCGAGTACGAAAGAGAAACACAATCGGCACCATGCTCGGAACTGCTGAAACTGTAAAGAATCGGAACTACATATCTATGTAAATATGTTATATATTTGCACTAGAGGCTAGTAAGAGAAAAATTCTGGACCGCTACATTTCTTTTGTATGTGGGGGGTTGGTGATGCAAGTTTTCGGGTCGGGGAATGATCTTGTGGCGTTCCAAGAACTTTAACCTAGTTTGCGACGCCTGGTCGACTGTGGCCCTGTCAAAGTCGGTGGCGCTACGACCGGCAGAGCTACGGGTGAGCCATGGCCGGGATACTGTAGATGCTGCACAACAGACAATTGTGGCTGTTGCTGTTTCAGCAGCTTGGCGGCAGCATGTGCCTCGGCCGCTACCACGGGATGCAGCACATCTATGCTCTTGGAACCGCCGCCGCCGCCAGCATTTCCACCATCACAATCGTCGTCGTCTGAGATCAGTGATATGCTTAGGTCGCTGGAAAGTTTAAGCGAAATGGGCGCCGGAGGCGACGGTGCAACCATTGGCGCTACCTTGGCACGCATCGCCGGCGACAGCTTCTGCAGCTGTTCCGGCAGCAGATCATGTGCGTATTCCGGCACGCCACTGGAAGCGAGTCCTTCACGCAGCTTGCTTAGCGACAGCTCGTAGATGCGATTGGCGATGACCGTGTGCACTGTGGTTTCATCCGGTAGTGAAGCTGTCATATCACTGCCCACATCCACATTTAGGTAACCATTGAAGTGGTTTGTGTCGTTGCTGGGCGTGCTGCAACTGTTTGGTTGACTAAACGATGCGTCTCGTGGCTGACGGCGTCTCTGGCGCGCTTGACAGTTGGCAGTAGTTGAAGTCCGGGGAACCAACGACACAGTAACCTCTTCCATGTTATTGGAAAATGTGAGCGGCGCCAATGGCGGCGGCGAGCGCATCAATTGACGGCTACCGTAGTTCAGCGTGCCGTTCTCGTCGTCACTGGTGAGCACAACGCTGTCGGTAAATGTGGTTGCCGTTGTGGAGGTGACATCTGCATTACGTTTTCGAGGCCCATACAATTTGTTATCACCACAACTTCTAGCAGCTGGCATCAGCAACATGGTAGAGCTTTGTGCCGGCGCCAACTCGACCGGCACAAGGCTTATGTTCGGCATCGTCGATAGTTGCAAGCTGCCGGGCATAGGCCTAGATGTTAGATGATGTCCATTGGCCACTGACAAGTCAGGCGCTTCATCGTTATCATCATCATCATCCGACAGCAGATCAATTGTGATGTCCGCGGGCAGTGCAGCAGCAACGTGACGTCGTGATAACATTAGCTTGCAACGTTCAGTCTTGGAGGCAGGTGCCATGTAGAGCTGATGCCGTTCCTGCAGGTGTTCCATCCATTTGCCCAGGCGGCGCTTAAGGCGCCTGTTGTCAAACAAACTGGATGAGATATAGAATGGTTCGGAATGTTTGGTATTCATTGCTGTGAATTCGAAAGAAATTCAGTCAGAGCTTAATTCAGAATATTGAATTCGGATTATTTAGACAGTTTTACTCACAGCTGCTGATTCGACTGTGATTTTTAAAACTTCAAAGCGCTTAGCATCGCCGATTTGTGGAGTCTCTGCGCAACCACCACAACAGGAGGCCTACCACCAAGTACAGTTAGATGTTGCCGCAGTTGCAACTTGCATAATTGCGTCAGATCCACAAAAGATTTGCTCGAATTGTTGCCAATTGTTAGTAAATTTATTTTTTTCTAATTACCATTTTATATTCGTATTTTACGCAAATATAGAATTTGTTGTTGTCGCAGTTTATCGCTTTCAGTTTGTGTTGCCTTTTGTTTTTGTTGTAGTTTTTTTCGTGCTGTTTATTTTTGCGTAGGGATGTAAGAAAGTGCATCGATGGCAATGTTATCGATATGTCGGAAAGCAGCATTGCGCTTGGGTGTAAAAATGTCACCCCGCTAAATGATTGTTGTCCCTGCTAATCAGCTGCTGTACCTAAACGGCGGGTGTATTCAAAATGTTGATATTTGCTATTTCCCAGGAATATTTAAAAATAACTTTGCTTAGCAATGGCGTAGTCGAAATGCTTAAAGTATCTGCTGATCAAGATTTATTTCTGCCAAAAATATTTAAGTGCTTTGTAGCAGATTGTGGTAAAATTAAATAAAAATTACCAAGTCCGTCATTTTTATCATTGCCCTCAATCGGAGTTTCGGCTAGGTACTGATTTGTCAGTTCGGTTGTAAGACGAACGCCGCTGAATGTCGACCCGAAGCCCGATTGGAGTTGGGGCGACAATTACCAAGGGAAACCTACCGGCACGACAGCCAGTACGAACGAAAGTTAATAATAAAAAAAATGTTGAGCAGAAATTGGCGCCACCCACAAATTTTGAGCTGCTCGTACAATTGGGCACATGCGCCATGGCTTTGAGTGGTATTTCGAGAGCTTTCACTCAAAACAGCTAAGAGCTTTTAGCATATTTGTGTTCCGATAACTGTTAAGATACGGCCAGTCGGCGTTTAGCCGTTAACGTTGTTGTGCATCGGCTTCTGTTGCTTTTAATTTATTTTACACATTGGGGAAATTTGAATGGAGCTGTTAAATGTTTTTATAATATTATCATGCATTGCCTTGTGCATTTACTTTTGGGAATGTATTGAATGAATGAATGATCTAGCTTTCTGTTTAGAAATTTTTCGCTTATGGTTAGTAAACATTTGGACACTTTCCAACACTTTTATAGCGATCACGATCGTGATCACGTATATCGACACAGGAGAGTAATGTATGTTCCGAAATTACAATTGATAAATAATCGGTGTTTCCTACAATCTATTCTAAAGGCAGCATAAATTACTTAGGGGCAGTCATGAATACATACATATATTCATCTATGTGTTAATTCAAATTTAAGCCATACTCATTCCGTTAAGTGCGATTTTAAAGGGGCCCTTTAATTCAAATCTGCGAGTTAGCTAATGTCTACTTTAAATATTGCAAACGAAAGACTCGGTCGCGGCGAAATCTAAAAATTGGGCGCAGGGTGGCGAAAGCAGCGTAAAGACAAAAGACAGAAACCACAACAAAAATTATAGACTCAACTTGGGTTGACTTGCCACTTGGCCGCCCACAGTCTCCAGCTCCAGCGCTAGCTCCAATTGCAGCAATGCGCTTTGGCCGCTTAAATTCAACAAGCGCGGAGAATAAAGCATTTGCCACGTTTAGGCGCACGCAGACCTCGACACCGGCTCCGGCTACGACTCCGATTCCGAGTCCGACCCGGCCACGACCCCACTGGCAATGGTTTCCTGTCTCAGAAACTGCTTGGGCCGCCTGTGCCGGCTGTGCATTAAAATGAATTTCTTTTGTATGCGTTGTGCTTCGAAACGGTGAGACTCGAGCTGGAGTCGATTTGAATGAATGCACGTCCTTGTTGTTTTTGTAGCGGAGCTCAGGCCAAGGCTCAGCAGCTCCGAGCGCCGAACTCCGTTTCTGTCTCCGTCTCTATCTGCGCGTCCCTCCTCGTCATCACCCTCATCAGTGCTGAAGTGCTGGCGCATCGATATTGCCTGCGTCCTTGTCGACCACGTCGGGTTTGCTTCTTGACGTCGTCGTTGGCAGGACGTCTTTTAAGTGTTTGCATTTTTCAGGTGTTGAATTTTCAT